CCAACACCGAACATAAATAAAACACATTACATTAGGGACAGGAGCAATAATGTACGAGAAAACTTGCCAGTGATCATTGCATTTATAGAAGGGTCACATGACAGATGAGTTGTGTCTGTATTCTGGCCCTCAACTTCTGGAGTAAAAGAGCTCTATTCAACTGATATCTGATCAGAACAGACTGAGCTGCAACAACAATTGAATCCTTCTTCTAAAAGGATGCTGTCACTTATGTTAAACATCATTACTTATTAGGCCCCATTCACACTGAGCGATTTATCGCGCGATTTTTGCAGCGATATCGCTCATATTTCCACGCGATATCGCTCTATGTAACTTCTCCAATCCATTTCAATGGAGCTGTTCACATCTCGCCGCTCAATATGGCTGGTAGCTCGTCGCTGGTAGATTGTCGCTCCTACATGACCCTTTTTTCTGCGGATTTCGAGCGATTTTGCGCCTGATTGCATACAGCCCAATAGGAAAAAGTCGCGCAATATCGCACATATAAAATCGCACAAAAAATCGATCGTTTTTCATGTCGCTCAGTGTGAATGGGGCCTAAGGATTTGGTCTCATCAGATAACTTGTTACTCATTTTTCATGCATTGTTTTCAGTAGGATGTTTCCCCACCAACAAACAGCATTGAGATAAGAGCTCTCCTGAAGAAGTGGTGGTCTGCCGGGATATCTGTGGAGCTTCTGTCATCATCTCATTCGGTATGCTGATCACTCCTTCATTTTCATATTACTTGCCTCTGTCCCACCACCTCTCTTTCATTGTTATTAGCATTGCAAGGTATTGTTCAAAATGTTCTCTCACATTTGTTTTTAGGATAATACTTCTATGCAAGGCCCCTTTCACACAAGCTGATCAGGAGAGGATCCGTGAACAGATCCTCTCCTGATCACAGCAGTACGGAGCGGATGTCAACGCTAAGAGATCTATATCTGTATAGTTTTTTCCTCCAAAAACAGCATTTACTGACCCCATACCAGTCTATGGGGAATCGGATGTAAACGGAAATGTGTCTGTTTACATCAGATTACCCCCGATACAGCACGATCCGGCCCGGCGAAACGGAACACTGCTCCGTTTGTTTTTACAGACCCGGCCAGAGGCAGGGGTAACAGGGTGTAAATTTACACTCGTCCGTTTACCCATGGCTGCCCATAGACTTGCATTAGGCATTCGATCGAGTCCGCCTGAAAGACTGACTGGCGGACCGAAACAGAGCGCCTGTGTGAAATACACCAATACACTGTATCCAATCACAGCTCCCCGCAGGGATTCCACCCTCCTCGCTCCGATCCTCCAGCATTGACCGGAGGAACGGACGGGAAGGGGACGGTTACAGCTGGCTCTGCCTCTAGATAGGCAGAGCCAGCTGTCAATCAGCTAGCTGGGTGGATCTCAACAGTAATGTCAGGATCCGTCCCGGCTGCGGCGCTCTCAGTATATCGTGGGCAATAGCCTGCTATATACTGAGCTTTGGGTCACGGGAGGTTAGTATATGTCCTCCCGTGACCCTTAAGAGAACTTTGGGGAAAAACATTTACCCCATAGTTCTCTTTTAAATCTTTGAATAGCAAAAAGAATACTGGTTAAACCCACAAGAGTTTTTAATCTTTTTACTGAAATTTCAACACGTCATATTATTAAAAAGTTGGATAATTGTTAATGCAGCAGAACATGTCTAGAATAAAATAAAACATCTAAATAAAAAAGAAATACATTTTTGGCCTCTGCTCTGCCACTCCTACCATGCTGAAGGACTCCTGTCCTTCAGCATTAACCCTTTGTGTATAAAATGGGAAAATAGGGATAATAAAGGTGCTTAATGGTCCTAATAGGTAACTTTTGGTACCTGGTCCACATGGCCTATTTACAAAGTAGAAGTGGACATAATACATTGTACAATTTTTATTCGGAAATTGTACACAAATGGTCTTTCGAATGGAAATTGAACAGTCGATGCTACATCACTGATTTTTGTTTTTGATATTGTGATCTAAATTTCTTGTTTGGTCAGGTTGGAAAAATTTTCTCGGAGTGATCGAAAATCGATGAATCAGTGGGGTTTCGTTCGTCAAATATCTCAGCAAGAACACAGAACATGCGCAAAAGGAAATTATTTCCGTCGTTCGTCAAAAATTGGTTAGTTAGTATAGCTAACAGACGCTTTACGAAATCGACATTTGACTATCTTAACCTCCCTGGCGGTAATCCCGAGTCTGGCTCGGGGTGAATTTTCAATGCTAGGAGCGGTAACCCCGAGCCAGACTCGGGGCACGGAGGTTAATCGAACAAGCGTTCCTGCCAGAAACGAGAAATTTCAAATGAAAATTGTACAATGTATGTCCACCTTTAGTCTTTAGAGGCTGGAACACACCAGAGGCTGTGCCAAAGTTCTGAACCCAACACAGTAGACTCTTAAAAGCACCAAATTGCAGAACATAGTGCCCTAAGAACATATTCCAGGCTAGAACTGCAATTGTCCAGTCCAGTGGAGTCCGGGTATGACCTCCAAAGCTATTGCTGCAGATAGATGAATCTGGAGCAATAGATAACAGCTCAAGCAGTATGAAGAAATAAATGTAAAACGTTGGCTGACTGCAGACTCACTATCACTGCTGTTTAGCTGCCGTGGAAGGATATTCTCAAAGAAGGAGATTGTACTTTCCTAGAAGTGGCACAGTGATTCTTCTTTGGTGCTGGAAACCTGTGTGAGCTCCAGTAACATACATCCTAGGAGGGCAATGAAGGGAGAATGCTGCTTTGAGACAGCAAGCTCTGTAGGGTGCTAAGAATCTAAATAGATTGTAGATCAAAGAGTGAAGTGGATTTAAAACATAGTACTGAATACAATACAATATATTAATATAAACTGGCGAATGTTTCCCATGTCTTAAATTGATATTAAAGGCTTGAGTTTTTTTCTCTATATAGTTTGATCTAAGTAATCTAACTACAAATCTTTGACACTTTAAATAAAAACATTCATACGAAAACTTACCTTTGATGTCCGGCATCGCTCCCTCTCCTCCTTGCGGTCTGTGTTCGGCTTCCGTTCTGAGGCACGCGCAACTCTTACAGGTACGAGGACTACATGACCCACAATACATTGTATTTTTTCTTCTACTGCGCCGCGGCTCTACTGTGCGGCAGCTATACTCCGGGCACGCGGCGGCTGTACTATGTTCTCCTCAGCATGTAATGATATGAAGATTTAAAAGAAAAAGCAGCAAAGAGAAGGGAAACTACCATGGATTAAAGTAAGTCACACATTACAGCATTGTTTTATTTAAAAGCATCTGAGGTAATGTCACTTTAATATTAGAGGAAGCACTAAAGCGCAATTATTGCGTTTAGGCTTTAGTGAGTCACTGACCTGACAAAAACATGTAGATTGTCAGTTCTTCCTGACTGCAAGCCACGTTATTTCTATTCCAGCATTTAAAACTCTTTTACAATTTATTGCACTGGTGTCGTTTATTACTTTAAGGTCATTAAACCCTTGTATGTTTTTGCATATATCTACTGCTAGCAAAAAACAAAACACTTTTTCAAACCCGCTTACCTTTGTCTCCACCACGCGCTCCCATCCGAAAATTCCTCGGACGGCCGCAAAGGATTTTGGGGCGGGTGCATGCGCAGTACGGATGTTCGGCCGGGAGACAAGGAGAGACAGAGGGTAAGTATATGGAGCAGTGTGCACCTGCACAGACTCAGCAGGACAGCAGAGAAGAGGAGGACAGAGGAGTCAGCGCTTGATCGGAAACCCGCACCAGCGCTGAAGGGACAGCTAAAAACTACAGGAAAGAAGATCGGATTTAGAGACATCATTTAAGGTAAGTCCCTACAGCAGGATTGGGAAGGGGAGTTTGACTTTAATGTCACTTTTAGCTTTTTGTAGTTGCACCAGAATGAAAGGAGTGACACATCCCCTCTAATCCATGTAAGTAAATAGGTAGAAGGTCTAATTCTTTCTACAAAAGCCCTGAAGTAAAATTGTTACATAGTATTTCAGGTTGAATAAAGACACAGGCCCATCAAGTCCAACCTATTGCATGTATGCATGTGATTCTGCATGTGTATGAGTCTTTGTGTGATCTTGTTCTTAAGTGTACCTGTACCCCTGTATGTTACGGTCTCTAAGGAAATCGTCCAAACGCTTTTTGAATGATTCCACACTCTCAGCAATAGGTTGGACTTGATGGGCCTGTGTCTTTATTCAACCTGAAATACTATGTAACAATTTTACTTCAGGGCTTTTGTAGAAAGAATTAGACCTCCTAACTATTTACTTACATGGATTAGAGGGGATGTGTCACTCCTTTCATTCTGGTGCAACTACAAAAAGCTAAAAGTGACATTAAGTCAAACTCCCCCCCCCTGCTTGCAGCAGAGAGTTCCAGACCTTAACCGCTCTAACTGTGAAGAATCCCCTACGCGCCTTGTCGCGAAATCTCTTCTCTACCAATTTTAGGTGGTGGCCTCTAGTCTTTGTTTTGGAGTTTACCGTGAAAGGTTTATTGCTGATGTTGCTATCACCATTGAACATCTCGTACATCATAATCATGTCCACTCCAGATGAGGCCGAACCAGAGATCTATAAAGTGGCAAAATTATAGATTTGTCTCCACAGTACATTCCCTTTTTAATATAAGACAGAACTCTGCTCACTTTGTTTGCAGCAGCCTGGCATTGCAAGCTAATATTCAATCTGTGGTCTACAATAGCATGCAATGCCAGGCTGCTGCAAACAAAGCGAGCTGTATTGCGGGACGCAGGAGAACTAATACGCACAGCATTTTCATATATGAAGCAGGATCTTTAAAAATACAACTATCTGAGTGGCAGAAAGCAAAGACTACTGGCAAGTGTGTGCTTTTCATTGCCTGTAGAATTGTGCCAGCGGAAAGATACCTTTGGTCACTCTCAACAATCATTTTCTACTTCTTGCTGTAAGAAAGAAAAACAAATGTATAAAACTTACTTATGTTAGATTCACTGAAGCTGTCGTCATCCTCAGAAAGGCTCTAGAAAAACAGTTGCAAGAAATCAGTTAAAGCAAGAACAAGAATTACTGTACATATCAATAGGCATAATATATAGTATCAACATACCACTGAAAAAAAAATCCACCTTAAAGTAAGCATGGAATCCATTTCAGTGGAGCCCGGGATACACAGCATTCAGGGGGGTGAAGGGTTGCAAAAAAAATAATGGTATTAAGTAGAGGTGCACCGAAATGAAAATTTCAAAACTGAAATTATACCAAAATGAAAAAAAAAGTCAGGCTGAAGCCAAAAATGTTTTTTATTTTAACTTTTTCAATTGTTTTTAAATATTTTATTTTTATAAAATATTTTACTTTACTTTGAGGGGCTTTGGGGAAATATTAGGGGTCTAAACAGACCCCTGATATTTCCCTTTTAAAATAGAAAAAGATTGAGAACAGAGTCCTCAATCTCTTTTTCTGCATCCCCTGTTATAAATGAACAGGAATCCTCTATACTGAGTGTTCCAGATCATTCATAACAGAGTATGTTTACTATATCCGCAATCATGAATGAACAGGAGGTGATAGAGATCACTTCACATTCATTCATAATTGAGGATATACAGGGTTATTCACAAAGGGGTGAAGGCTTTGGAGAAGGCAGGAGAAGTGAACAAATGGATAAATTCACTCACTACCTCTGCTGAATGTCTTTGGGTACAGTGTTGCATGATTGTAATTGCCAGCCAAACTATAACAGCACTAAAAAATGAAAACTGGCCTGGTAATAAAGGGGTGTATACAGGCTGGTACAGTTAAAGCAGACCTTTACTCATATCTTTAAAATAACAACAAACGTGCCTTTAGAAATGTTTAGTAATGACAATCTACAAACACATACTTCTAGGTAATTGCCGGCTTTTTATTCTTTGCATTCCTTATTTCTCTGTTCTTTCCCAGTCTTCTGACAGTGGCCATTTTAACTAAGGGCAGATTACTAGATCTCCCTTTACTTCCTGGATTTCTGGCACATGTGACCATGCACATCATCTCAGGGGAGGGGAAATCCCTTTCACTGAGATCTCATGAGATTTCCCAGCAATGCTCTGCTGATTTAAGCTTCCCAGGATGCAATGCTTGGGCACGATTACAATATTTGTGCCAAAGTGGACCAGGGAGTGGATAAACTGTAAGTGAATCAAAAATATGTTTGTTTAACTAATGAATGTAAGATCATTTTAAATCAGCATGCAGAGCTGAATGCTGATGTGATTTGTAGTGAAGGCGGTAAAGGTCCGCTTTAATTCTATTAACTGTATATAGTTTAAACCAATAGACACTAGGCAAAAGATAACCTGATATGGACATGATGACAAATATTATTTAGGCATTATTTTCTATATATAATCAGAGTCACTGCAAACTCCAACTTTAATTTATCAATATAAACTAAGCTAGTTTGGTAACCAAAACAATCTGATGTAATCGTCAAAACGCAAAGGGTGCGACTGTACAATCACATCCTCTTTCCATCATTTTGGCTGGAGTTGGGTTTTAAATACGATTGCTGTAGGAGAAGGGGTCACTGTGTTTTTTTCCTTTGACAGAGAATGGAAGGCCTTTGATTGACAGTGATTCTAAAGGTACTGAAGCCAAAGGATCAACATGTCAAGTAACTATCACTTTAAAAGAAAAGCCAACAATGGCAGCTCTACATGTTACACCTATAACAGGTTTCTTTTAAGATAGCCAGTGTATGTCCCAAATAAAACTGAGTTTATAATATAGAGAAATACAAAGAAATACAGAGAACAAAAATATTTTTCTATAAGATATATTATGTTGACTCTTTTCAGCTTCATGTAGCCCTGAAATTCCAAGTTGCCAGGGCTCCTTTGAACATAATGAGCATTTAAGGTTTGAAAAGAGGTACTTTAATCCTCTAAGAGGGGCGTTTTAGTCAGGGATGTCTATTTTTAGATCCACCTGTTCACCTGTTTTGAGAAAAACCTTTCCTTGGGTTGTGTAATTTAGCTGTAGAATGAAAGAGCTAGATCTATTCTGCCACAAAAATGAAGCCAAGACTGTTGTCACAATTGCCTTGAAGAATGGGACCTTATAGGGCCCAGAAATGTTCTAATTCCATTCTATGGTGACTTCTTTAATAAAGTCTGATGAAGAAAGAAAAAGCATGCTGTTGATGTAATTTACTAAAACCAGACAGGGCATTCATAACGTCAAAGTAAAGAAATGCCGCATATCCAAGTCTATCGTATTCAAAATCAATTCAGTTATGACAATATTAAATTAAAATGGCCTTTTCCCCTAACCCCATTGTTGCCAGCACAAGGGGAGGGGAGGGTCCTTTGTCCGGTTAGGTACTCCAAGAAACAGATTTTACACGCAATTCTATGGGGTGCGGAATTCCTATTGCCCGATGCCCAGAACATGCAGCTCAGGGCACCGGGCGGGTAGCTTTTTTGTACATTTAGCCCTGCTTCGGGCACGCAGGTCTAAATGTAGAACAGGGGAAGCCGGCGCTCGTTTTTCTACAAGTGCTCTGCCCAGATCACTTGTAGAGCAGCCTAGGTAAACAAATAAATAAATTAAAAAGTAATTAAAAAATGCAAAATAATAAAATTAAAAAGTGAGGAAAAGGTAAAAAAAATAAAATAAATACAAATTAAAATAAAAACCAACCCCACCATCTGCATGTGAATAAATGCACGTGTAGGGCATTGTGTGTGTGCGCTGAGTGCTGCCCCCATTCCACTGTGTGCCTTATTGTGGTAGCCGGGCAGCTCTAACACGCAATGAGTCCACAAAACTGGAATCAGCCCATTCTTCTTCATATTCTATCTCAGCAAGTGCAACAGCAGGCAGAGAAAAGTCTAAGGGGGTAGGAGAGGGGGCCCACTTGCACCTTCTGAGGTCTGCGGACTCAGAACATACATTTTCCCTATGAATTTAAATATTACTAAAGCAAACTCCTCTCTGGATAGCAGGGTAAAAGAGGGAGCCATGTGATCTGATCTGCCATATGCCCAAAAGTACTCACATCCTGTGGAGTGAAGAAGGTGTCCTGTGTCCAGAAACTTGGAGGCACAAAGTGACCAAGGAGTAGGCAAAGCAGTGCAGTACAGGTATTCCTCACTTAACAAACAAGTTTCGTTCCTACGACCAGGTCGTTAAACGAATTGGTCATTAAGTGAGGAACTCTATACAGTACTGTATAGCGTTGCAAATGTACAGTACTGAACAGTGTACTGTACATCGGGCAATGAAATACTTACCGAGACACGCAGTGAACAACGGAGTACATCACTTCCGCCGGCGAGACGTCACACTGTCGCTGCCACCGTACGTAAGGTCGGAGGTCGGTCATAAGTGCGAGTGGTCGCAAAACAGGTAAGTCGGTAAGTGAGGAATGTCTGTAATACAGACTGATCTACTTGCTGTATCTGTGCAGAGTCACAGCAGCAGAAGAGTGCCACATGCACAGTACTGTACATGCAAGGCAGACAGGGCAGACACAGAAAACAGCCCCTAAGCTGCAAGGGAACAGAAAAAGTGTGCCAAGATTTAAAATTTAAGATGCAAAATGCGGCTGGATGCTACAACGCAGGAAAAGAAGCAACGCATCAGTTATAACCCTTTAGGGACCAGAGCAGCTGCCCTAGTTACATTCCGGCTAGAATATTAGCCACAAACGTGCAGAATCCGTGCGTATGTTAACCAGTTGACATCCGCGGTGTTAAACCCCCTTCCCATCCAGGCCATTTTTCAGTATTCAGCGCTGCGGTACTTTAACTGACATTTATTCCGTCATGCAGCGCTGTACTGAAATGAATTTTATACCCTTTTTTGGGGACAGATAGAGCTTTCTTTTGGTGGTATTTATTCACCACTGGGGGTTTTATTTTTTTACTATATTAAGGAAAAATTACCGAAATTTAAAAAAAAAAACAGTTTCCCCTATATTAAATGATAAAACATTTATTATTACCCAATTTTTTGGTAAAATATAAAAGATGGGGTCACGTCGGGTAAAAAGACACTAAACATGTCAAGCCTTAAAATTGCGTGCGCGCGCGAAACCTCAAAAAACGATAATACCCAAAATTGGCCATAGGCGACGCTTTAAAAGCTGTTACCGCTCATCAGTTTAGTGTTATCAGTGATTGATGGCCCTAAAATGATTGCTCTCACTGCGACGTTCGCGGCGATATGTAACATGTGTAGCGCAATTGTAATTTTTGCGCGCTGGGGCACCGGACGCGTATTTACGTTTATAGGCGCGTAAACGTGGGGGTGGGGGAGTTAAACATTTTGGGGGGGTTTTTTCCCCTTTTTTTATATGTGACTTTTATTTTATTTTACTTTTTTATGTGTTACTTTTATTTTTTTTTATTTATATTTATTTTTTTGCACTTATTGTTATTGCTATTATATAGGGGGATAACAAACCCCCTATATAATAGCAAAGGCACACTGACAGGTCCTCTTTATGGAGATATTAGGGGTCTCTAGGACCCCTAATATCACCTGTGGACCCCAAAAGAAGCTGATGAAGCAGAGATCTGCTTTATGCCGCGAACGAGCACATATAGGCGATCGGCGGGCTATGGACCCGCTGATCGCCTATATGTGAAACACCCGGTAACGGGTGTGTGCATTGATCGGGACTTTTCTGCCCGTGCGTGCCCACTAGGGGGCGCACGCGAGCAGAAAAAAATTGCCGTCTGGAGACGGCAACCCGCAGATGCTGCAGTGCCGTCCGCTTATGAAAAAGTCACGTTCTATCTGTCAGCCAGAGGCTCTATTGATTGGCTGTTAGCCTCTACTTAATTCAATGGGAAGGAGGAAGAGGTTAGGTTCTGAGGAAGGGGGCGTAGCCCCGGAAAAGCGTCAACCTAGGCATACTGTGCTGTCACACAGGAACCATCATCTGTGCGGCTCTCACATGCTATGTCTTGCTTTTTGTTAGGACTGAGGAACAACCTATGATTTTGAAGGCTCATTGTTATCTACTCTTTGTTTTTTTTATCAGACTGTCAGCGTTTTCTCCCTACAGACTGTAGGGAGAAACCGCTGACAGTCTGTGAGGCTGCAGCGGGGAGAACCCCTGTCCCAGCAGATAACTGTGTGAAACCAAAATGGTAATTCTAGTTTAAATCATTGTATAATAGACAAATATAATTATGTCACACTGTAAACGGCTATTTTTGAAGATCCTCAGATATTTTTGCATTTTTCTTTAGTTCAGACCTACTCATCTATGATGTGGGGGAAAGGATAACTGGGCATAGAGGGAGAATTCCAAATTCTGCCAATACTAAGAAGTTGAATGTATGAGGTCACCTGAATTGTTGTTTTGTTTTGTATCACGGAGAACCTTGTAGTTTTTCTTTTATGATCAGGCTGTTAGGTGTCCATTATTTACATACATATACACAGGGCTTGAAAAATTTGATAGTGTCTCACCAGTCAGTCAAAAATGTCACCAGTCAGCATGACCGGACTATAGCCTTGCAATTTATGTTAAAGTTTGGGGACAGATAGAGCTTTCTTTTGGAGGTATATAATCACCCAGGCCTTAACCAGTTGACATCCGCGGTGTTAAACCCCCTTCCCATCCAGGCCATTTTTCAGTATTCAGCGCTGCTGTACTTTAACTGACATTTA